TGCACTACAGTCAGCGCACCTACCGGTGCTTTTCACCGCTAGCTAGCCCAAATACCATAAAATTCTAGATTTACAGTATTTTTTACTACTTGACTACAGTATTGAACCTCCTATAAGCGAAACACCCTTGGGACCAGAAAAAGTGTCTGTTTAGGGCCAGAGAGACATCTGTTTATGAGGTTAAAAATGCAGTGTTTGAATGCAACTGGGATGATGATTTAACATCCACTTACAGGAGGTATGATCCATCTACGGAAGGTGTCCATCATCGGAGGTTTGACTGTATTTTGTAAAATCTCAGATACCATGCATGATCTTTGTGTACAAGTGACCTCACCTGTGACCCAGAATAATCAAACTCTCCCGCCTGCCCGATAGATAAACCTCCAGAACCTAAAATCATGACCTTCTTGGGTCTCTTATCCCCTGGAGATACCAACGGTTCAAACTTAATTAACTGCTGGATACGCTCTTTGACTGTTATCAAGGGTTCCACATTCTGTTTTGTGTTGTTTCACTGTCGATAAGAAACACATCAAATAACATTTTCCAAGTCCTGTGGCCCAGCCATGTGCTCTGGATGAAACTGCACGCTGTAGAAGGGTTTGCTGTTGTGCGTGATGCCTTCATTTGTTTGGTCATTAGCGTTTGTAAACAACACCGACCAATCAGGTGGTAGAGTGTTTGTGTCGATGGCAAAGCCATGGTTCTGTGTTGTGATGAAACAGCGGTTTGTGCCATGATGTATACATGGAATATTGTGGCCTCGGTTTCCATATCTACAAAGAAATCAAACGGAACAACATGAACAATAAATTATGCATTGATGTAGAATAGATGTTTCTGCGGGCAGTCCGTGTTCGAGCACTGGCCGGGGTCATTCTCACATTGCCTCTCTCTGCCCAGGATTAATGGGTTACCAGCGAATTGTCAGGGCAACCTGACAAATGCTGGGAGGTATCCTGTGATGGACTAGGATCCCATCCAAATAATTACAAGTCGCTCTCAAGTACTTACTTCATTTTAAAGCTGGTACATCCAACTGCCAATGCCAGGAGCTGATGTCCAAAACAAATTCCAAAGAGAGGTTTGGGATTAGCGCGTTCAGTAAACTTTTTGATAATCTTTACAGTCTCAGTTGTGAATGTGGGATCTCCTGGACCGTTACTCAGGAAAACACCATCACACTCTGCAAGTAGTAATTAGGTTGGAAAATAATATTAATTTTTATACTAATCACAACTTCAATTGAGGAAAGTCAAGACCAAGCACATTTCAGAGGACAAAATAAATTGTGTCATCATTACAGCTGTATTATAAAAACAGAGTGGGAAGTTCATGTCCAAAGGAATGTTTTTGCTACATCTCCAATCCTTATTATTGTTTCTGGCCTGGTGAGTTAATGTACATGTTGAATGAAAACAAATGGAAAACCTCTAAACCTGGCAAATGACAGGGGGAGACAGGGGGGGGGGGGGGGGGGGGGGGGGGGGGGGGTCTGTCCACTGCCTGTACCTTGCACTCCTAGTTCCCGCCCCAACCTCGTTCCAGGGTCTACTCCGCTTTCAAGATGGCGGCTGGGCGCGGAGAAGACCCTGGTACACGCTGGCGAAATACACGAATTGTGGAGTATTTTGTCACGTGACACACGATCGAAAGTCGTTTTCTCTACACTTGACCAACGGTTCTAGGATCAAATATGATATTTGATCCCAGAACCGTTGGTCAAGTGTACTAAAACAAGTTTCGATCGTGTGTAACATGATAAAAATAATATACTCCACGATTCGTGGAGTCTTTTGCAAATGTGTACCAGGGTCTTCTCCACGCCCAGCCGCCATCTTGAAAGTGGAGTAGACCCTGGGAACAAGGTTGTTTCCTGCCCCTTCCGTTGTAGTTCCCGCCTCTTTGAGCTTTATTTATTGCAAAATATTGTGCAATGTTGCAAAAATGTTTTGCTATTTCTTCCGGTTCCGAGCACCTTGGGAATCCTGCCTCTCACAATCTCTTCTCCCGCCTCCTGTAGACTTGCCACCCCCTTTAATCCAGGGTTCCTGCTCCGCAGCCCCGCCCTCCTGTCCCACCCCTCCTGTCCCACCCCCCTGTCCCACCCCCCTGTCCCCCCACACTACCTACTTTGAAGTGCTTACCTCCCCTTTCAACATCATCATTAAAGTCGTAATTCCACGGAACAACTTTGACAGCCAGCCCTCTAGCCATTAGGCCACCTTATTTGGTTGTACTTCATTCCCACAATCCACAGCAATGATTTTAAACTGACCACTGGGATTATAAACTACGGCAGCCTACAAACACAATTCAGTATCAAAAAATTGTTAGGGTTACAATCGCAATGTCCATTGCAGTACAAGGAGTAGTTTAGCATTATATGGCATATTGGGTAAAAGGAAATACATGTAGTTCATCTAGTGTGATCATCCGGGTGAGCTTCGCACATGCAGTAAGTAAACTGTGTTCAGTCTGTTCACAAGTGTAGGACTACAAGAAAAACAATTCTGAGTCCCATAACGAGAGTTGAACCCTTCACCTTTCACACACCGGTTGGATGTTCAAACTGGTTTGAAGAGAATTCAAACCAAAAACAAATTGAACACAACAGTACTACGGCGGTCTAATTTGCCAGCGTGAGTAACCTAGGTTTAAGTGGTTTAGCAGTTGGGTTAGGGTTAGGGTTAGCTTTTTAAGGTGTTCGAGAGCCTATTCTGGTTACACCTACACTCACACCTGCACCTGACAAATTAGACCGTCTGCCTTTCACACACCGGTTGGATGTTCAACTCGGTTGAAGAATTTCAAACCAAAACAAATTTGAAACCACAACATACAAGACTTTTTGTTACAATGTATTGCAGATTAAAACCAAGTTCAAAAACCTTTGAGGAAACCTCTAGCTACTAAGTTTCTTTTTATTTGGACATCAAACGGGATAGACTCTGGCGGGACACCTCGATTACAACTTTCTCCCTAACATCAGCTTCCTTTTATCTCTAATCTTCCTTGTTAAAGCTTGGTGGCAATACCTAAAACACATTCGAGGGAAATTAGGAATCCACTGATACCTGTTATAGCGTCATTGGCCGTATTTCACATAGAGACGGGAAACTCGTCTTGACGGAAAACTATACTGACAGTTTATCGTCCTTAGTCGTTTGATGATGTGTGAGACGAGTCTAACTACTTGTTAAAATTTCAACTTTGAAGCTGAGGCGCGGTTACCTTTCCTTATTTCTAAAGACGAGTTATACCGTCACAGACGGGAAAAACTCCGTCCTTAGAAATCCGTCTAAAAGCAACGGAAAATAGACGGGAAAATCAGACGAGTTAACCTGTCTAAAATTAGTAACCATCCCGTTTTCATGCTACATGGAGGACGGGAACCAAAAAAAAAAAAACAACAAAAAAATCGTCAGAGAAGGATAACCGTCTCAGACGAGTTTCCCCGTCCAATGTGAAAACGGGCTCCAAAATGTGAGCAATAAGATGGGCTTTATTTCACAATTACAGTTACAGTACAAATTGTTAACCCAAACTCTCCTCATGTAGATGAAGGATGGGTGCCTGGGATATCCGGGGGGCCTCACATGTGAGTCAGCCAGCCCCAGATTGAATACCCGGGGTTCAAAATAAAAATCACAGCTTTTAGCTTGAATTTGTAGGCGTTTTTTGTCAAAGGGCTCATTTTTTTCCGCGCGTCAATAAATGAATGAGCACGTACCGAAATGGCACATTTATGAATCACTTTATTTTCAATTTCCGCGATTTGCGTGTGTGTACTGCTACACTAAAATTTAACGGGAATCTGCCAAGAAACCCGTTGCCCTGAGCCCACGGACCAAAAATTTTCCTTTAGAGAACCTTGAAATTATAACTGATTTTAAGAAAATTTCGCACATATCGCATGCTTTGAACTGCCTAAAATAAAGGTCAGGGGGCGTCAGAATCTTCATTTTAATTAACGTGTTTCTCGATGGGTTTTCGTTGCGACAATTCCCTCCAAACAAAGATCGTAAACGGCTCCATTTTTAGGTGTTATTCAAGCCATAAAATATGCAACTTTGTCTAGACAAAACCGTCGTGCTTCTTCCACTCACAAACATGGAAATCCGTTCTGCCGAGCAATATGAATACAAAACTGACTTTTAAATTTTGAACGAGTGAAAGGGCTTAACAAAACCCGGCACTTTAAAACAAGTTTTCCAAAATAAATCTTGATTAACGTGCAGAAACAAAGGCGGTAATGCAACGGTTTGTATAGACAAACTTGCATGTTTCACGCTTGAACAAACACGTAAAAGAGTTTATAGTCGTTCACGGGTGAACAAGAATTCTCCATTTCAACTTTTGCAGCACGCCTTCAATTTCGAAACCTTTTCTACCTTTCTACTCATTTTTAAAACGTTTCCAAAAAGCTTTTAAAAACGTTTAATTGGTGCTTTATTTGTCGGATATGAAATGTTTGACTATACATTACAGCAACTTTGATTTCAGTTGGCCGATCCAAAAGCATGACATTTTTCTATTTCTCGGTGAAAGTCGCCGGCAAGCCCCCCCCCCCTCGTGGTCAAAGTGCCGGCCACCGACGGCAGCCGGCTGCTATTTTGAACCCTGAATACAGCTCCTTAGGCTGGCAATCCCCGCCCAACCAGATATGAGCCCCAAACGCCAAGCCAGAAAAAGGGACCTCTGTGCCTGACCACTTAGCGTCAGAACAGAGCCAGGGCTCATAGCTGAGAGCAGCCATAGCCCAAAAAACACCCACATCGATGAGGCCACACCCATCCTGAGAAAACAATGTATGATTGAACCAGCCAATGCTATACAGCTGGTAGACGTGGGAAGTGTTGTATGCAGGAATAGGTACCTCACTCATATGTAAAATTAAAAGAAAATAAATTATGGTATATTTTAAGCTCATGTAGACACATGAAAACGATGTTTAATCAGTCAGAGACACAAGCTCCTCGTAAAACTATTCTGAGTTCTCCCAACAGGAGTCGAACCTATGACCTTCCACACACCAGTTGGACACTCTACCACTGAGCTAGCCTACAGGAGACTCGTGGGAAGCTCAGCCATATAACTATTGTGTCACCAGGGCTCGACTTTCAGGAAAAACCTTGGGCCAGCTGGCCCCTAGTTTTCATACTTGGTCGACCAGCACAAGTATTCTTAGTCGCCAAAAATTTTCGGCGGCCCTTTGGGCCGTTTATTTTTCTAGCGTGTGAAACTGTCAATTTCAATTTGCATGCTTTGGGAATTTTTATAGATCTGACCCTTCGAAAATGTTTAAAATGACGTGTCGACCGATGTTTTCCAAAAACCAGGTCTTTGTAATTTTCGTACATGTTGCCCAACGGTTGATGCGAAACATGTTTCACTGGTCGCATCGAATAAATGCTACTAGACTTTCACAAAGTCCGTTTTTCGCGTTTTGGTGATTTTGTCAGTCGACTTGTGGCTAAGTCTAAAATGCTACGTGCAGTACGATACGCCATCCGATTGTTCAATCACTGGTAACGCGCTACAAATTTGTTTTATCGACAGAGTAGTTTCTTTAAGACCCTATTTATAAATCTGCTACCCAAAAACACATTTTGATAAAGTCGGACTGGGCCGAAAAATCATAGCGTGTATTAAAAGCGGCCTCACGCGCTTCACTGACGCTTGACAGCCAGCGATATCTGATAAACCAACTTGCCAATTTTTAATAGCGGGCTATTTCATTCGAAATACATTTAATGAAATTGAAAGAGAAAAGTTAACTCTATATCAATCGATCTATGTCCTATTGATATCACAGATATAAACTTACTGATAACGTAACACTGATAGGATGAATATACAAAGATGTACCGATCGAGTCCTACGGCCACGGCCAGACACGGCGAAATCCGATTTGTTTCAGGACCGGTTTAATACGGCCGGTTGTTTTCAGTATTATGAATACCGTAAGCGACAACTATTTCATTTGTTTCGCATATTCTTTGAGAACTACAGTTGCTAATGAAAACAAAACAAAGCTGCGATTTAAATATTGTCGAGAAAACCACGGCACACACGCAGTCACTACATCATAATGTACCGCCTCTATTGAATCAAATTACTATTTAAATATCTTGTTCATTCTCATAGAAAGCTACAAATTTAAAATAATATGCGATTATTCTTGAATCCAAAACCTATAATATACACTTTCATATAGTAAAAATGTGTAGTTTTTACAAAAATCTAATTTTAGAAACACATGTCGCTTTAGGAAAAAAGATTGGCGTGACGAGATTCGTAGATCGGGTTTCAAACAAACAATCTGACAGAAGAATACTTTCGGTCACTTCATACTTGAAAATGAGAAAGTATATTCTTCGGTATTAAATATTCATTTAATTCATTTGAGCACTAAGAAAGTAAAAAAAAATTCTAAATTAAAATATCTTAGGGGCCAAACTGGCGACCAAGGGTGAAAAATTAGTCGCCAATGGATCAAATCCAGTCGCATTGGCGACCCCACAGGTCGCAACGTCGAGCCCTGGTCACCGATTGATTAACATTTTCCTCATAAATATTGTGGAAAGATTGTTTGCAAGATGAGCACAATAGAGACTCTGTATGGGTATTTTCCGACGAAATCGTAGTCACGACGATTGCACAACTATCAAACGACGATCTCGGAGTATTGAAGCTACGATTTACAAATTATCGTGGTCAGATACAAAATATCCAATGCGTGAAATTATACCAAAAATTTCTAACACAAACATGATTTTGTTTAAAAAAATCGACGATTTGTTAAAAATGCGCGACAAAATCAAAGTCTGCAGGTACCATAGAGAGGCTCACAATAACATACATGTAGACAGTTATACAATTAGACTACGAGCAATCCCTCTTTCCCAGCTTAGTGCGTCGAGTGAGAAGCGATAAAAATTGGGTCTCGCCCCCAGTTTTTCGCATGGCCATTTTTCGCTCGCCAATTTTTTATCGCTTCTCGCTCGATGGACTAAGCTGGGAAAGAGTGACTGCTTGTAGCCTATTATATGATAAAATACATGTACTATTCTCTCAAAAATAGATCTACACTCCAGCTCACCAGTAATTCCTGGTATGCCCTCTTCTTTAGCCATTTGTGACAGAGATTTCTTTGCATTCCAGTGACTGAATTCTTCAACATAATCCCTACAATCAATGCCGATGCCCAAATTTTGTCTGACTCAAGCTCCGCAGTTAATCCATAAAGAATCTTTCTTTCCATCCGGCACTCCATAGTTTCCAATCAGAGGGTATGTAAGCGTAGAATTTGACATTTGTACGATGGATCTGTCAGAGACTCTGGATATCCAACCATGCCTGTCTGGAAACACTAAAAAATAAAATAAATAAATATAAATAAATAGATAAATAAAAAAGCTATACAGTTTTAAAAATGCATGTATATGCCCCGGAGGAGGGAGGTAAACTCAACCTGTAGAAGTTATAGGGGTAATCATCGGAAATTGTGAAAGCAAGCCCTAAAAGGTACCAAAAATCTCATACTAAAGGTTATGGGATAACTCTATCGATCGGTGGTTGGTCATTTTAGATTTAAACACCCAAGCTGTACCAAGCTACAAAATATTGACTCCTAAAAGGTACAATGATCACACCCCGTCACTTTTATATGGGAGTCCCGCCCCCCCCCCCCCCCCACCCCCCGACCCCCCCCCCCCCCCGTTTGCCCGTCTTTTGCCTCTTTTGAGACTGTTAAAAAAATAACAACTTCCGGTAGCGTATTGGTTTCCGCTTCTTCGACATCCGGAGATTCACATATCAGAATTGGCAAACGTTCCACGTGCGACCCTTCGCAGAGTCTTCGCAAGAGCTTTACGACGTTTTATTTTGTAAATTTTCTACAAAACTAAAGTTATCAGCCTATTTCTTAATTTTGCCGTGTAATATTCTTCGAAGAATTTAATAAAACAAATTTGAACCGCAATTGGGACATGTGCAGTGAATTATAAAATAAAACCTATCTTCGCGCTTCGAACTTCGGATAATAATTTTCCACGCGATGGGTTGACAAAGTTGAAGCACGCATAGCGTTATCGTTGTAGTATTTACAATTGATAGCTAAAACCACCATGATTTTCATAAAGGACAATGATATTTGCTCTCCAGCATCTTTTTAATGTAAATATTTCTGTGTTTTGTCGTCCGAAAGAAACTCGAAACTCAGAAAAGCCGTTCACCTTCGACAATCATCGCTCGCTCACTTTGAACCCAACAACAGCAGTTTTAAAACTTACCGACTTCGCCAGCAACACACTCAGCCGCTCCGAACAGCTTTCCTTTATACACTGTACCATCGTCTAGGATCAAACTCGCTAGCTGTGTACGTTTTGACGGCATCTTTGTCTTGTATTAAAATTGTCCCTGTGGCCAAATCGCCATTTTGCCACTCTGAAAGAATAAGAAATTTGGCGCGTGTTTGATTATCGGATCCAGTCTTCTATAACACTGCAAAGTCACCGCGGCTGGCGCTGTAAGTGCGGAAATGGTTACGAGTGGGCCATTCGCTGCAAGGTTTTTTTTTTTCTAATTGGGGTATACGGTATTTTACGCTTTATTTAAAAATATGGGTATTTAGTATACCTAGTATGTAGTTGTTTACAAGTGTATATGTGAAGTTTGTATTTTTTGCAATAAAGAATAAAAAATGTTAAATTAAAAAATATACGGTACATATATATATTTTGGAGCGATTACTCGTTACTCAAGTTGACAGTTAAAAAACTCCCTTTCATTCATTCCTTGATCTAGAGCATACATGTTATCTTCTTTAAAATGTTTTAATTTTGGTATACTGATATACCATGACACCCCCTGGCTCGGCCTACGGGTACTCCCGGCGAAAACGGATTACTTATCGTAAGGTCTCTATACTCGTGAGTCTGTACGCAGTTATGGCTGTCCACAAGTTGCTCTTTTTTGTCAAAAAGTTGCTCGAAATTTTCTCAAAAGGTGCTCAAAAGTTGCTCCAAAATCAAGAAAGTTGCTTTTTTATTTTTAAAAAAGGTTTTTTAATATTTTTATTTTAATGAGGTGTAACCTTCAAGGAGGTAAAACTGCGCTTTTTAATAAAATTTTGCCCGCCATTCTGGAGGCTTTCGATGAAAGAGTTGTTGTCATGGTGTTTTGTTGAATCACTTAAACGCTTTAAAACCGCCTCAGTAAGGTAACGCCTTTGATACACAGGCTCCTCGTTTATTTGCAAAGGTAAGATTTCAGTTCCTGTTAAACTTAACATCAGTTAACTGCGAATTTTAGATGTATAAATAGCTGATATCAGAAAGAAAGAAAGAGGGACTGCTCGCAGTCTAGTTAATATTCAGCGAGTTAGCGAAACAAAATCTTATTACCCGAATTAATTTACGATCGAGTTGGGTTGCCTTTCCGAAAATCGTAGCTAGTTGAAACTGTGTTAGGAGTAGTTTTTGTTTTTTGTTTGTTTGTCTGTTTGTGTTGTTTGTTTGTTTGTTTTCAGTCCCGGGGAAAACAGAAAACGACAGTTCCAAGTCTTTAATTTGCTTCTTATTCTCTTTGTTTCAGAACTGCTTTGCTGCAGGTTTGGCAGTATTTCCATACATGATGATGATAAGTTTGAAACTTTTGGTGAACTTGCTTTTCATTTATTTGGCTTTTGAATCAGACTCGGCCATACAAGGTAAGTTCCGTTAAATAAGTACTTTAAAGTTTTGGCTATTTGTTAGTTTGTAGCATACGATTTATTTATCACCCTATTTATGTTTTATTGAGATGGTTAGGTTCTACTCTTCTTCCACAAAAGCCAAAATTCAGTGTCTTGTTTAACCGAGTTCTCATTCCCCACGTTGTGGCCATGGTTAACTCAATTTTTCCGCTTTGCCTCTGGAATACACTTGCAACAACAACAACAACTTATTAACGTGTCTTACTAGCGTGCCTATAAAGCGTGCCTAAAGGCCCACTAATCGGGGACACCTAAAAGTCATTACTGACTTGCGATGTCATCACTGCCTGGGATTTGCTCCAATATGTGATGAT